ATTATTAAAAAGCAAACATGTTTGATGTTGTTGTCAATATCATTTTTAGCTTTGATGCATAGATGAGAAGCTATTGGTTTTACTCTGGTGCACTATATTTTTATACATACGAGTTATAAATAAGAAAATACAATAAAAAATGGTACTTTAATTGTAATTACAGTAAACGCACGGCTGCGGTGTCAATTATAGATTAGATAAATCCATTTTTGATTATCAATTCAGATTATTAGTTTATCTCAAAAAATCAAATTCAACTCTTATATATTTTGCCATGAAAAGTTTTCTTTTGTAATATCGCATTCGTTTTTTAATTGATACAGTTTTTAAACATAGTAGAATAACAAATTACTTCATACTATAAATAAGTATAAATAAAATATAAACGTACAAAATATTTTATATGAAATAAATGAAAAAAAATTGTAAGATAAAGGTTACTTAGTCTTCTTATAGTTATGAGATAACAATTTCTTTTCAATCTAAATAGTTTCAAAGTATGTGATAATAAGTACAAAAAAACAGACGATAAAAAGTAGTTCAATTATGTTTAAGTTTATTAATAAAATATTATTCATTTCTTCCTTGCTTATTAATTACAAATATCTTAAAATGTTTTCAAACATGAAAAATAAATCAATAATGTAATAGTTAGCATCTCTGATTTAGTGATATTTGTTTTTATTTTTTTGTTTCATCATTTTATTTATTTATTCCAAAAATTTTGTTTAAATAACACAGTTCCTCAGCCCAAGGGCGGACTGGTCATGTGGGCAAGGAGCAATATCCCCAGCCGTTTATATAACGATGGGGCCGCTATGATTATTGTAATATGGATAGTATTTATTCCTTACCTTTTTTTTTTAGTGAAGATTTCTTTTTATGGAGTGATAGAAATATTTTTTGAAGCAAACTAAACGGTCAAAACTATTGGCTGCTAGCTTTTCAGTACGGCCTTTCCTCAGCCAAATAGTCTTAAATTTATATTTTAATTCCATACGTTTATTTGTTTTATAATATTTAAGTGAAAACTAAATTAAAATGTTTAAAAAAATGTACGACTAAAATGGCGCTTTATATAGGCAATTTCAATGCTCTCGTGTAAAAAATATCAAAACTGTATAGAAAATAATACAACTCATTTGGAATAATTTCTTCTTATGTATTATCACTTCAATAATATTTTTTTAGACATTCTATTAGAATTATAATACTTATTACAGTAACTATTATGATTCACTTATTTTCATTTTTAAATCAACTTTATTACATCTTTTAAAATTAAATAATTCTGTATATAAGTTATATACACTTAAATCTCCAACAACGAAATTTTCTAATTGCACTATTGTCAATTTAATAATAAATTAGACGGTTAGTATTATAAAATATACTTCTTAAAAGCGAAAAAGTTCCTAATTATAATATTCAGTGACCGAAGAAATAAATAAATAAACTTTTTATTAATACTGGTATTTGGGTTCAGAGATTTTATACACAATGCCGGGTCACATAAGCAGTAACGGTTCGTAAATTCATACGGACTGAATTGGTCTGTTAATTTGTAATGGAAAACAGGGTTCTCTCTTGTATGAAATAAACAAAATTCCTTCATTTAAGGGAATCCGGGCTATACATTTGTATGATTTATGAATTATAGTAGTGCGATATGAGTTTGAGTTTATTAAATTATTGTTTTAATTGTAGATAAATCGATAGAAGCACTGACCAATGTATCATATTCCTATGAATAATTTTATTTTTATGCTAAAACTAAGTTATAATTTATTTATGGTGTGTTTTTAAGTATAGGATATATATAATAAATTGATCTTTGCGACGTCATATAGTATTGCATGATAACACTGTGAATTAATTAAATGAAAAAGCAATTTTGTTGTTTCAAGCGAAATTAATAAAATGTTTTTATAGTTAATATATCTACATTTATATACTCCACGCATAATGTTTTTGCGAGTCATTAGAGTCATTATTTATATTTGAAAGTTATAAAATAATCAGAAAATATGTTAGCAAAACTATAATTCATGGCTAATTTTTCATAGAACGCTATAACAAAAATATAAAACTAGTTCTTTTCAAGTTTTTGAAATGAAACATTTAAATATAAAAAAATAAAATAGTTAATTTATTATATTTTTAACCATAAAGTTTAAATAATATTTAAGTATGTATATAAATATTTAAGTTGTAATTGTTTTAACTACGCAGCTAAGGGGAAAAAGGGACTATAGTTCCCCACGGATCAATTATTGCTCTAAACAGCTTAAGATTTTGACTCTAGTAAAACCACGTGATAGGCCAAAAACAAATAATAATGTTCTTAGCCCTCCCCAAATAAAAATTTTGTCTCTGTTACCGAATAAAGGCGTAGGACATTGAATTCGAAATAAATTATGGTTATTATTTAATAAAAAAAACCGATATGACTACATTGAAAAAATATTATATAGTTATGGTTAATATAATATATATATATATATAATTAATATATTATACAACATAATTATATAATTGAAATAACTAAATAAATTTAGTTTATAATTGGTTCAACTATATAAGATAGTTCTTCTCACTATATAATTAAAATGTCACTATATTGACCATAATTTGAGGTGACCCAACTGTGTAGTTTTTCGTGTAATATCAACCAATAATGAATCATCAGCTAGGTAGTATATCAATCCTACCCTAATTATAACAATATATCTATAATTATGTTTATTTTTGAAATAAAATTGGAATTTTATTTAAACTAAAACGAATTAAATATGCTTAATCATTGCACGTTGTATTAAATTTCACGTGTTCCAGTAGATATGTAATTGAAATATTTCCGTATTATTCGATAGGGTAAATTAAACTTTACAGTGAAAAACGTTTAATCTCAAATCGATACTGGTGTACACATAATGGCTTAATTAAATTAACTATTCACGATAGCTGTCCTTATAACAGTGTACTATTTATGTTCATCACTTAAGTTCTTAATCCACTTCCAAAACGCTTAACAAACTCACTCTTAGACAAGTAGAGATAAAATATTTTAACTAAATAACCATTAGATAGAAATAAAAATTTCGCTGAGGTGATCGACGGCAAACGTTTAACAGTAATGAATTGTGTTCGTATAACAATTTATATTGATTTTAGCACAAATTATTGTGTTTTCTCGTACTTGTAGCTTTTTTTTTTACGAAAATACATTAATGTTATATTTTTATAGCACATAAGTCATTTTTCTTACGCATATGATGACTTGTTTTGTTAACAGCTCCTGACCAATCATCGTCGAGGATTTGTGATAATACATCATGTTTTATCGGTTTGCTGACTGTACTTATTCACATCAGACATGATGACATGTACCCCAGTAGGTTTGATTCAATTTAATATCACTGGTAACAGCCACTTTATTGTCAGCCGTCCAGTGAAAAGGAAAAAAACACACAGGAAGTGATTAATGGCGACCGTGTCAAAAGAAAGTGACGACCATTTTGACTTTACAAGTCACATTTAACTGTCTAATAAATATGAATAGACATGATTATATCTACTGAAAATGAAAAAATAAGGCGAAAGTCAGTCGATACGTCATTATTTGATGTTTATGCATTTAATTAAACGGAAATATGTCTATGTTCGTTTTGAAGCGCGACGTTTTAACGTAAAAATCAATAATATTCTTGTTTTCTTCGAATTATTGAAGAATATTACTTTTATAGCGACTTCCTAACACTGAGTAAAAACACTTTTTAAAAATGTATACTCGCTAACAGTTTGATAATGTTAATATAATTATGATTGTCCCAAAATCATTACTAACAAACACTAGTATTATTGAATTATCTAAATTTAGTGAATAGACTATATTTTTTACGTTCATTATTATATGCCTGTTTTTGAATATCAAAAATGAATTCAAAAACATTTTAAATTTCATTTGTTAATTATGTTTCATTTTATTGATTTTAGTCATGCTTATTTATAATTAATTTCTTACTTTTTTAAATTCTGTATTGTTGAAAATTAGAATTATTCATTGCGTGTTTCAAGTTATACAAGTTGATTCTTTTAACGCTTGCTACTCGATTTCTCTTAAAATAATAATTGAATAGTCATTTGTCAAAGAAGACTTTCGTCCACTTTTCCAATTTATTCAGGGGAGACAAAAGAATGTTTGTTTCATAATTGATTTATTTATATATTATGTGTATTTTAAAATCATATAATACACATAAGTACAATTCAAAAAAACATTAAAAAAAAAAAAAAATGACGTATTTATAATTAATAATATTTATAAAATAACATAAAACTTGTTGGTAAAAATGTATCATTGGTCCCTTTTAACTTAACGAATGACTATTTAATTATGTTTAGAAAATTATTATTGATATATAAGTGGTTTATATGAAGAGTTTTTTATGATCCTTTTTTCAATTTTATCTTAAAATCTTAACAAAAAAACAGCTATGAACAAAAAAATTCAAAATTTTAACAACATTTCTTATCCAAGAAAAATAATTTTTTGCCCACCCCCATTATAAATTTCTAAATACGCCACTGACTAAAATAAAAAAAAGATATTGTGAAAAAACATGACTGATTATTATAGAGATATTTTTAGGAATTATAGGTTTTTCATAATTTGAACAATTTTAATAGATTATTTTAATATGTTGATTTTATATTGATTTACCTCACATATGATAAATTCTTAAATTTTAATCGAAAAAATGTTTTTTTTTTTTTAAGTATAAAATATATTTAAACTATTAGTCACAAATTATAAATTCTTATTTTATGTAATCAAATATATTTAAGTAAATAATTAAATTAAATTAACCATATTTATCTATAGAAATATAAAATATCAAAAAAATGATGGTCAACTAGTTGTACGACGATTCGAGGAACGTTGTTGCAAATAATAAAACTACCGCACTCGCTCGTTTGAAGAGATAACGACACAATTAATAACCTCAAAATAAGTGCACCTAGAGTAATATTGCTTTTGGTTAATTATTACCGAAAGCTTTTCAGTCTTGTTATTTTATGTACAATTAATTAGAGTAATAGTATTACATTTTTAAAAAGTATTTTTATAAATAAAACAAAATATAATGGCTCTTCACGTTCCTAAAGCCCCAGGTTTCGCCCAAATGTTAAAAGATGGTGCTATGGTAAGATATTGACAGAAAATATAATAGTTAATTAAATTTTATAATTGTATACATTCTATTCTAAGTATCTTGTGTTAATATTATGTGTAGCATCTATCTGGTCTCGAAGAAGCTGTTTTTCGTAATATTGGAGCCTGTAAAGAGTTTGCTGAAACAGTCAAAACTGCATATGGTCCAAATGGTATGAACAAAATTGTTATAAATCACATTGACAAATTGTTTATTACTAATGATGCAGCTACTATTGTCAAAGAACTTGATGTAAGATAATAATTAATTTATTAATGTTTCCAAATTGCTATATATTAATTATTATGTAGGTTGAACATCCTGCTGCTAAAATTATAGTAATGGCCTCTGAAATGCAAGAACAAGAAGTTGGAGATGGCACAAATTTTGTAATAATTCTAGCTGGAGCACTACTTGAACAAGCAGAATTATTATTAAAAATGGTAAATTTCATAATGTTTTATTTATAACACAGGTTAATTCAAGTTTTCATAGGGATTAACACCAGTTGAAGTATGTGATGGCTACCAGGTAGCTCTGGATAAAGCTATTGAATTATTACCTTCTTTAGCATGCCATGAAGTTAAAGATATTAAGAGTAGTTCTGGCGAAAAAATTTTAGCAAAAGCTGTAAAATCTTCAATTATGAGCAAACAATATGGACAAGAGCAGTTTATTTCTGATCTTGTTATTGAAGCTTGCTGTAAGTATTTAACTTAGCACATTTAATGACTAGACATTTGAAATATATAATAACTTTTTATTTATTGATTTAGCTTCTATACTACCAGAAAAATCTACATTTAATGTAGATAATGTGAGAGTGTGTAAAATTTTGGTAAGTTAATAAAAATCATGCTGATTATTTCTAAATAATAATTTATTACATAATTGTATGTATGTATTTGTTAATAGGGTTCAAATTTGTACAACTCTTCTGTTGTTAATGGAATGGTGTTTAAGCGTACCAATGAAGGAGATATAACAAAGCAAACAAATGCTAAAATTGCTGTATATACATGCCCTATTGATATAACTACCACAGAAACTAAAGTACATCTATAATAATTACTTTTTTATTCAATTAATTACCGTTAAATTTAATATTTATTTTATTTTAATTTAGGGTACAGTCCTTATCAAATCAGCAGAAGAATTACAAAATTTTAGCAGAGGAGAAGAGATGGTACTTGAAGAACAAATTAAAGCTATAGCTGATGCTGGTGTTACTGTAATTGTGGCTGGTGGAAAATTTGGTGATATGGCATTGCACTATTTGAACAAATATAAAATTATGGGTGTTCGTTTAATGAGCAAATTTGATTTAAGACGGTTATGTAAATCTGTTTCAGCCACAGCTTTACCAAGGCTTGTAAGTTTATTTCAAATCCTTGTTTGACTACACTAAAAGCGTAAATATATTTCTATGTTTAAAAATTTTCCTCAAATATTAATGATTGTTAAATTAATATAAAAATACCTTCTCAGCTTCGCATCGAAGCTAAAAATATATTTTTTTTAATAATTAGAAATATTTTTACATTGGTAGCTGATTTTATAGAAAAATTATGGAGAACATTTTTTTTTTTATATATCATGTTTTAATTAATTTAATATGGTACAGGAAAACAGTTTCTCTGGATCATTTTTAAAAATCAAGTCCCAACCATGCCAGGACCCTACTGTCCTACTGTTTTTTTTTTTTTTTTATTGCAGTATTATTTAAGATCTTTAATTTTATATAGATTAAAATAGGTCAGACATTCTTAAAAATTTTCGAAAATTGAGTTTTAAAAAATGTTTTACATGCTTCGGATGGTCTCTTTAAAACAGTTCTTGTACTTAGATTATGCATTGAATTTTCATAAAAAGTATACAAAATAAACTTATTGTCCTTAATAAACTGTATTCAAATTTAATTTGAATCGATGTGTTAAAAAAAAAAACAGTTTTACAACGCAGAAAATTTCTTTAAAAATCCTATTTATTATGGTAGCCAAACTTTGAGGTATTTTTCTAAATTTCTTAAAATGAGGGGATTTTTTCCCAATTTTGGTAGTATAGGTTTAACTAGTTTAAAATCAGGTTCTTATAAGCAATATAATCGGTCCAGTGAGAACTGATAATTTTCATGGACTGACATAAAAAAAAAACAAATCATCACATACCTTATTTAAAAATTAATAAAAATAAATTGGAAATTTTGCACATTCTTAACACTTTTATTATTAAATATTCAACCTGTAAGTTGTATGATGTATTTTTTAATTCCTTTGTTTTAGTTTTGATTATAAGGTATTGATGATAAAAATATATAGATGTTCAGTAAGTAAGGACGCAGGTTAATTGCTATAAGCAATGAAAATAATAAAAACCCTTTTCTTACTTAGGTTTCGGAAGTAAACATATTATGCCTCTGATCAACACAACTGATTAAAATTGACTGTTTTGAATTAAAAATATACATTAATAATATTGTTAACAAGTATTTTTACTCTGACTAATATCTTAATATATGAATTTAAAAAGATATTTTATAAAAAGAAATAATAGGTTAATGAATGGATATTTTGTTAGGAAAAAAATTATTAAACTACATTATAGTTGAACTCTTGTTTATTATGTTTATTAGACAGCACCAAATAAAGAAGAACTTGGTTTTGCTGATAGTGTTTATGTTGATGAACTAGGAGATACTTCATTAGTTGTTTTTCGTATAGATGGTAAAGAGTCTCGTATGTCCACAATTGTAGTTCGTGGAGCAACTGATAACTTTATGGATGATGTTGAAAGAGCCATTGATGATGGTGTTAACACATTTAAAGGAGTCACTAGAGTATAATTACTTGAATTATCATTTAAATAATATTTGTATATTTTTTTATAAATAATAATCAAAAAACCAGTTTATTTCTTCAATTAAAACAGAGATTTAAAATGTCAATTTATTATTTGTTATTTAATTATATTCATTACTAGAATTTGATTATTTCATTTATAATGAGATAAGAATAAAATTACTTTTAACCAAATAAATATATTTTTTGCTAAGTCTAAAATTTTAAATAAATGAACTTCTTTAGAATAATATTATAAAAAAATATATTCTTAGTATTTAAAATTAAAAAAAATTTTATTTTATTTATTCTTATTTTAATCATTTTTGAAACAATTTATAGGATGGTAGATTACTACCGGGAGCTGGGGCAACTGAAATGGAACTCGCTCATCAAGTTAGCAAGTATGCCGATACATTACCAGGGTTAGAACAGTATGCTGTTAAAAGATTTTCTGTAGCATTAGAAGGATTTGTAAAAATATTAGCTGATAACACAGGAGTTAAATCAAATGAAACTCTTGCTGAATTAAATTCTTTGCATAGCAAAGGCAATAAAAATGCTGGGTTCAATATTGAAGTAAGTAAATTTAAGATCAAAATGATATAGTTTGAAGTAATTTAATTACTGACTGTTCAATTATAGGCAAAAGGATCTTCATTATTAGATGTTGTAGAAGCTGGTATTGTTGATTCATATCTTGTAAAATACTGGGGCTTGAAATATGCTACAAATGCAGCTTGCACAATTTTGAAAGTTGATCAAATTATAATGGCTAAGAGAGCGGGAGGTCCAAAAGCACCTGGTGGTCGTGCACCTGATAATGATGATGATGCATAATCTATTTGATTTGCAAATTTTATATCTTCTTTTCACTCACTAATACATGTTACTAACTTAAAACATCTTAATAATATTGATATTGTAATTATATTTTTTACATGAAATGTTAAAACTAATTTATAAAATACATTTCTATTAAAAATAATAAGTATTGTTTATTTTAGCTCATTTTTTAATTACATAATAGTTTTTTAATAAAAGTTTGATATAAAAGCATATACTTAAAATGTTTAAAACTTTGAATACAACTTTTTTTAAATGACCAGTTTATTTGAGTTTTTTTAAAAATACAATTTTAAATTTATTTATTTATTATATTTTATAAGTAAAATGTCTAGGTAGTGTAATTTAATCAACTAAAACCTTTTATATTCATATAAGTAATTTATTTTGCCAGTACAATTTTAATGTATTTACAACAAATTTACTTTAAAATTATTTAAAAAATTTAAGTTGTTAATGGTTGAAACAAATACAACTGAAGCAAACAGTCGTTGATTTGATGATTTTATTGGTCTTGATGAAATAGCTTAAAAATTGACTCGTATTTGAAGAGTATTAGAATCATATTATTTAAATATTGTTTACAAAATAACTTGATACAAAAACTTACACAAAATTTAATTATGATAATTATTAAGTATGAAAGTGGACAATGTTATAAGAAGTATTAAATTATAAAATTATTGCCACTTGATAGCTTATAATTAATCAAAATCATTCTTGTCCGCATATAATAAAATACTGAGATTAAACTTTCATTCCGTTCTTATTTTTACTCTACAATTTCTTCTGATTTCATTGATTGGCCAATCTGTTCTGCTTGATCAACAGTGTTAGGCAATTTTATATTCTTACTCTCTGGTAATGTCATGGTGATAGCAGCTGCTATAAACGATGTCACTCCAAACAATAACATAGTCACACATTCTCCGTAATATTCCGCCTAAAATACAATAAAAAACACGATTTTTGTACTTAATAATAATAATTAAAATACCGCCCATAGATATATTTAAAAATTGAAATCCTCGATTTAAAAATAAAATGTATGCAAATAAATTGTAAAAATGAAATCAGATTTTCATACACTGTTCTGAGCTTGGACTTTCCCTTGAATAATTTTATATAGGTGTTCAATAAATAAGGAAACATGTTTCTATTGTTCTTATTGTATGTAACAATTGACCTGTTTCTATACTTACAGAACACCTTGTATAACAACTCTAAACATTTTTTCTAATTAACTCACTAAAAGTGTAGTTTGGGGTGCCAACATGGAACCGAATCGTCCAAGCATTGAGCACAATGACAAAAGAATAGCTCGCATATTCGTAGGAAATATTTCCACTGTTAACATATATACAACACTAAATGCTACTGAAATAGCCAATTTACTGATCAAAAAAATGGATAACTTCACTCCCACGTAATCTAATAAACAAGTTTTAATAAAAACTTAAATAATGATTTTTCAATATAATACTTAAATAAGCTCACCAACTGGAGTCATATTGTATAATACACAGGTAACTCCACTTAGCAAACACGTAGTAGCCAATGACATTTTCCTAGTCATTCCTTCAGTAACAAGCCAATAAATTAAACATGCAGGTAATTCTATAAATGTCACGAGCATAAAATTAATGTACTTGTCCCCGGCAATGTCAGTTGCATTTATTGACAATCCATAATAAACAAGAGTTATTCCTATCCTAATTATTTTTAAATAACCTCATTATATAACACAAACGTTTTAAATACATACATTGAATATTTTTTCTTCGGTGAAATATTCTTACCAGACGATAGAACACCGAACAGTTCTAAATAAAATCGTTGGAGAGCGAATTATATCTTTTAGTATACTAGACTTTGAATCGACGTCATTTTTGTAATTTGTACTCTAAAAATGAAAATTTTTTAATTATATAAATTATCCTGTTCATTTTCAGTGGAAATTGATTGGTACGCCATGTTGTGGGTTCGGCTCTTCATTAAGTTCGGGCTGAAGCACAACACAGCGATGTGAGTTTTAGAGACGATATGCACCGCCCTAAATTAATGCCTAACGACAGTTCTAGAGTGGCTCACAATAGTACCGTTCGTGTTTAAAAAAGTAGAAGGGTTGAGAAATAGTGACAAGAATAGCAAAAAGGTAGTAGCTATTTGTCGGACTATATACTTAAATTGTATGTAAAAAAAAAGTATTAATAAAGATCATTAGTTTTTTCAAAAAAAAAAAATAATAATAATTGGTTTACCTCTAGTTGCAAATCAGTAAGATCAGGTAAAGGTTTATTATTGAATTTTGCAATTTTTTTGAGAATTTTCACGACCTGATCTTTTTTGCCCTGCGTATCAAGCCATCTCATAGATTCTTCGGTTAACCTAAGTGAAATATGATATTTTCACTGTTGAAATGTATAAAACTAACCAAATCTACTCACCAAAAGTAAGATAAAAAGAGTAACCCAGGAATATTACAAATTCGTAACAGTAGTCTCCAATCTTTGACTTGTTTGGCGACAAATGCTAGTAAGATTCCTCCAAATGGAAAAAATAACTCCAATATAGAATAAAATAATACTCTTTGTTTTGGCAAAACCAACTCCATAGCTACATAAAAAAATACATAAAATTTGCTACACAAATGCATCATATACCCTGATAAATATTACCATACTTAAAAGGGATCAGCATCACACATTTTTTTTTAAGTAAATATAACTATATGACAATAATGTTGTTTTTTAGTGAAGTAATGAAAAAATCGTTCTGATATATTTTTTCCCGTGAAATAGTTTTAGATACGCTACAATTAGTCACTTACGGTTACTTTACAAATTCTATGATTAAAAAATTTAGGTTTTAGAAATAAACTTACCCAACACAAAAGTTATGGAATATATTCCACTTGATAGTAAAGAAGATAAAAATTCTAGAATTAGAAACATTGTATAATTCACAGAAAATGATTGGGCAAAACTTAAAACACAAGTCATGACAATACCAAATATCATAGAAAACTTGCGGCCATATCTAAACAGTATGGTTTTATTTTAGTTTATCAAGTTAAAATTGAATGAAATAATTTAAAAAAAATATTTTTACTTGTCTGCAATTACACCCGATAGAGGTAGACCTACAAATTGTCCAAAGTTGTTTAGTGTTCCTACCATAGATAGTTTCCATTTGTTGTCTTCGCACATCAACCCAAACTGAAACAGATTCATATAAGATAGCAATTAAAATATAGAACAAAACTTTAACATGTTCAAAATAAATATAGGTGAAACTCAAAGTTTGAAAAGCCTAAACCAGATTTTATAAAGCAGAACATATTTTAGAAATTTTAACTGAGTGACATTAATAGAAGCACATTTACGAAATGAATTCGGGTTAATCTTTACAAAAATAGGCACGCACCCAGAATTTAAATTAGGGAGGGGTATCTAAATAAAAATATCTTCCCTCTTTACACAATATTATCAAGTTTAGCCTATTATATAATGTCATGAAAATTTTCGGAGGTGGTGTCCAGACCACATGAACCTCTCTGAATATTTTCCTACTCAAAAGTGTGTAATAAAATTGTATGGTTTAGAAATTATGCGAATAGGCTAATAAAAGTTTATTTTATGGAATGACTGCTTCCCAAGAAAAATCCTAAATATTCCACTGTACACCATTATTTAGAATTGGTAGAAGAGTATGCAAATTGTTACTATTGATACGCTATTAGGTTTTTTATAAATTTTTTGCTCGAAATTTCGTTATTTATATATGAATGTATAAAAAAAAGTTATGAAAAACTATTTTCAAAACAAAAAGTTAATAGAGGTTTTTTTTTTTTTGATACTAGCGTTAAAAGAAGATTACAAATTTTTTAGAGGAAACTCTAGAGCTACCAATAAATTTTATTTTAGCAATAAAAAAGGTACAATTATATGGGTTGCCAAGACCATTTTCCCATAAAAATGTTCTGAATGAAATTTGATTTATTGTTTTGTGATATTACTTTTTGAGTTATTAGATTTTTTGGATATAGACGAGAAGGTTATACAACGTAGTAAAATTTTTATCAGTGCTTTATGGTAAAAATAGTGACGCTTAATAATACCCCTTTTCCTCATCTTTTCTTAATAAGTCATACTTCAGTTAAAATAAAATATGTATAATTATGTGTTTTATATATTACAAAAAAATACAGAATTGTATATTTACAAAACGATTTAAAGGCCATATTTTTTTTTAAAATCATTATCAAAATTATAGTGAAGAATTAAAGGTAGTTAGTATTAGTGATATTAATTTTGCATTAATATTAACTCAATGTAATACAATATAATTAATATTTAGTACTAACCTCTGTCCCTATAGTGTTTTCATAGTCTTGGAAAACCCAATTGCCATTGCGACATGATTCCATAGAATTTTGGTCATAATTTGATGGAATACACTGATTTCCTTCCGTTTCATTTTCATAACTAACCCTACTATATCGGCGACATTTATAAGGATGACTATTTTGTTCTCTATAAGGTGTAGTATATTTCAACCATTCTGGTTCGTAGACCAATTCAGTTTGCCCCGAAGTGTCATCACAACCTGGTACCTGACACCTAAAATAAAATTTACTATATTTAATGATAAATAATATACCCAAAATTGTAGATACTAAAAAAGCATTAGATAATTTTAATTAGTGTTCAATCACGCATTGGACTTTGTTTTTTAAGAAAGCTGAAAGAACCTACTTTAAAACTATTTTCTTTTCTGAAATTCCAAAAAACTAGAACTTATCTATTTTAAAAATAAAGATAAAAATAATTTTTTTAAAACCTTAAGAAAAACCTGAATTAAAATTGTAATACTTTCAAAAATATTTATGAAACAAAGTAATTAAATAATTAAAGTTATTTTGTTAACATAATTAAACTTCTGTGCAGAGATTGTCCAAAAAAATTTGTACGTAATAATCAGGGCACATAATTTATAGCAATAGTGTTATCTTAAGCGTTATAATAAACATTTAAAAATATCGTTTTTAGTGCTTGAATATTGTAACAAAAAGATAATAATATTAATAAAAATAAAATGTAAATTTTATTTTATGAAAATATTTGAAATTTTAATATAATACCTTATAAAATATACATTTTTTATTTTAAAAGCATATTAATTCAACATATATATTAATTAAAAATATAAAAATAGTTGTTTAAGTATTAAGGGCAATGACCATGTCTAAATCGTAGTATACATGTCTTTGATATCCAAACTTTTTTTCCTACACCTACTCTAATTATTTATACCTTTTTACAGAGGCTACCCAAACATACAGTCGAGAAAAATTAGCTACCTTAAAAAAATATATTTCTATATGTATCATAAATTAAAAGTTAAATTTTAAAAATGTTGCCCCCTTCGTACTGCTAAACTAAGATAAATTTGAAATCAGCAACGTTTAAAACATAAATAATTGAAAATCTAGACTTTTTTTGTCATAAATCTGGAGATATTAATTAGGACAATTTCAGACTACTGTTTTCCCTTGTCAAGAAGTTACCAGCTTATTTAAGTGCTTTACTTACAGTTGTTAAGCAACATGACTTGTTTAAAATATAAGTAAACAATTTAATATGTCCCAAGAGGTCAAATAAATTTTGAATTTTTCGGAGTTTTAAAAGATTTATGTATTTAGCTTATTGGATTTTTGAAACAAATTTACAGCTTACGTAGATATAAGCATAGTTGTAAGAAATACTTTTAAAAAGTATTTTAAATAATACTCAAATATTTAAAAAAAATGTATTTAAAATACTATTTGAATACTTTTCATACAAAAGTATTTGAGTAATACTCAATTACTTTACAAAAGTATTTCAAATACTAAGAATACAATTAAAAAATAATAATAATGTTTTTATTTTAACTAAGAGCAAAAGGTTCCACCTAAATAATTACCAAGAAGGTAATTTGAGTCAAATATTGAGTACTCTTAAATTAAGAGAACTCATTTATTATTTTCGATATTTTTTGTTAGAGGTAAATAAAATTAATTATTGTAGACTATTCAGTGAAAAAAATAATTATTAGTACATGTGTAAAAACCTGTAAAGTATGTCTTATTGACAATAGAGTAAATCATTTGAACCTGCAATAGGCTATTGTAGGTTCAACTGATGTATTAAAAATAGATGTATACATAATAGCATTTAGATAAGCACAATAATTATGTTATACTATAATGTAACATATAAAATAACAGAGAATTATTCTCAATTTTCATTTTGACTGAGTTTAATTTGCTTGCTGTGTTACGGTTAGCAAATTAAAAAAAAAAAGTATATTAATAGTACTGAATATTAAACAGTATTAAATACTAAATAATTGTATTTAAAATACTACTCAGATACTTTTTATTAAATGTATTTAAAAATACTATTCAATACCAATGAAAGTATTTGAATACTTTTATTCAAATACATTTACTCAAATGCTTTACGCCTTTGGATATAAGTCCTAAGACCTTTCAAAAACAAAAATTGCAAATGCTATAAGTTATGAATAAATTATGAATTTTATGCTTTAAGCCCTGATAATAATACATGGAAATACAATGTAAATTAAATAATGATCTATTTATACTAATTGTTTTTTGTATACATACGTATGTTTATAGACATATTTGTTATCATCAAGCCTTATTAACACATATATTTATTATTAGATGTATACATGTAAACAATTATTAAAATAAACAAACGAAGAAGTTAAAGTAATAATCAAGTATAAAAAACAAATATTTGAGAATAGCAAAACTAACCTACTTTGAATAAATTATTAAAATTAGTAACAATTGTTTTTAATAAATGCATTTCCCTCTTAGAATACTGAAAATGTATGTAAAATTGCTTAAAAGTATAACGTCAAAACTTAGTAGTATATCTAAGCTGTGAACATTTAACTACAATACATTAATAAAATATTATTTTAACAAAGCTATCTTAAAATCTACTCTAAAAATTGGTTGTTTTGATTATTTTAATATTTTTCATATAAATTAAAAAAAATATTATTTGTGATGATATTTTTATAATCTTTAAATATGACTATTATTTTAAAAAATGTAACGCAGATTTTTTAAAAAATTATATAAATTCAAATTGAAAATTATGTATATTTTAAACAGTTTATAAAAAAAACAATTTAATTCACGGAATTGATTATGGACTTAGACCTTAATAATTTACATTTGATATCTTACACGAACATGTTTGTAAATACTAATAACATAAGGAATGATATAAATTGAAAATTCATTTTAAATTTTCCAACTAGAACAATTGATTTACTATCAAATAATCAATACATAAATGTGTTAATATTGAAAAAGAGATAAAATTACATTAAAAAAAAAATATATATATATAATCGTATTAAATAAATATGTGCTAAATTTAATAATACTATTATATAAGATATAAACAAAAATTAATAGTTTTTCAATATTAACTAGGTTTGAAATTTTTTTTATAGGTATCAAATTGTTATCTTCTATTAAGTAGAGATTTGCGGCTAAGATTTTAACTATAAAATTATAACTTAATGTATGGTTATACATTTTTCAGAAAATTTTATGTGCCCAAATAATTTACCCTTTATAACTCAATAAATGTTTATACATATTATTTTAATTTTCTTTCACGTTTAATTAAGTTATAGTTACTTAATTTCTCAATTAATATTTATTATTTCTATAGTATACCTTATTATCAGTACAAGCTATACATAGTCTGAGTTAAAGCGCTAAGTAAGACCGCCCGAAAATTCAATAAAATAATTTTAAGATTAAAACAATTTTTATAAAAGGATTAAATGTATCTTTTTATTATAAAATTATTAAGGATACAGATAGATTACAAATAAGCCTTTATATGTTATATTATAGAAATTTTAAATAAATTTTACTAATAAAAATAAATCAAAACATTTTTTTTTATTGTATTTTTAAAAAATATTGTTTTTTTCATCTACCTAAATTTGATAAGCTGATTTTATCGAAAGCAGTGTTTTATATACTTTAAAAAATATTTATCCGTGTATTGAAAATATCACAATAATAAATAGCTTTTCTTTTAAAAATACAAAAGAATTTTTATGTCCACAGATTCATACTGACAATCAGGTTGACCTATTGCTTTTAAAAAATATCACACAAAAATTGATATAAAAAATTAACTTGAATTATTTATTAAATAGTACAAAGAATACAACTGCACTTTTTGCGATATTAATAATTCTTTGGTTATTAAAGCATATAACATGTGTTCTGTATCATTTTTGGACTTCATTATTTATTTTTGATTTTATTATGCAGTCACAATAGTTCAAGGTTAAATATCTTTTATTTTTGTTAAATAGTTAAAAAATGATAATAAATCTGAGAGATAAAGGAAAAAAAGCGATAGTGATAATTAATATATATATATATATATTGTTTTTTAAAAATTATGAAATATATAAGGTAATTACAACCACAATTTAGGAATTTGTTTTAAAAATTAATGAAAAAAAAAAATGCTATCTATATTTTAGAATATGTGTTTAATATTTCCCTTTTTCAAAATGAAAACAATTTTATTTTAAATATAATTGTAAAGTTATTATTTTATAAGTAATGTAATAATTAAGTAATATCATCTATATCCAATCATTTTATATTTAAGGAGATAAACATTTTATTTTTAAAATAAATTAATAATTATTAATTTATTTTTATATTTGGTATAAAAAAAATGTTATTTTATTTTGAGTCTATTATTAATATAAACATTAATATATTATAAATATATATATGTACATTTAAGTGCATGGACGCAGTGGACCATTGTACTCAACCTTCTCCTTTAGTATACACCAGTTCACCTTTAATTGGCCAGTGTGAAATAAATATTCTGGTTGATAAAAAAAATTTTATATATACAGAGTGACTTTTTTTTAGCCACTTAAACTCTATTAAAATAATAATTAAAATATATATTACAGGGATGTCAAATTATTATTATTTAAATGGCAGTATACATACTTAAGTAGCTTACATAATAAAAAATGATCTTATGGAAAAAATGACTGGTCAATAACAACATTTGGTCCACTATTTCAGAAATTAACATTTTTATACCTAAGCGGGAGAATGAGTGAGCCCAAGAAATGCCTTGTAATTAAATTATTTGCACCTTTAACTTACCTCTATTCATTACTTTAAATTATTAATAACTCCTGAAATACTGATCTAAAAGTTGTTGTAGATCGGTTATTTTCTTAATTAATAACATAATGTTTATATCAGTATATTATACTACCCACGTAAAAAAAGTGAACAATTGATAAATAAGCTCCTTTACTAAGACCATTAATTTACTTTCGAAATTGTTGATAAATCTTATAAATAGTTTAATAACCTTCCAACTGTTTTGTACAATTGTTGGTAACATACACTGTTCATATTAAAAATGCAAAAAGAATCATTCATTGTTTAGTTGCTAATAATATTAGCTTTATCTTGACAATATAATTGCCTAATGTCCCAATATTTTTTTATATCCTTAATGAGTGTTAAGAATTTAAAGTTATACAAAGCCCTTATCTTAGTTACTTGAAGAGTCAGAACTTCCAAACAATTTTACAACATTAATTTCTATTTTAATCTTTATTTAATTATTACTTATGCAATTTTTTTATAATTTAACTAAACATCCAAATATAACTAAATTTTTTAACTTAAAATTTAAAATAATATATCAATAAAAGTTTTACCTGTATTTCAGATCGCCAGCAGTGAAAATGTATGCTACAGGAGATACGTTGGACATCAGGAGTACTATACCAAACAGAAAACATCCCATTATTTGATATCTGCCCATACCAACGGTCACAAGGACATCATCAATATCCATCTTGCCCAATAGATGTCTTCCAGAAAAATTAATTATGCTGTATGAAAATTTTATAATTTTCTATAAATACATAAATTACATAACCACTTGTTTTATTTGCTGAAATTATCAGTTGCTTATAAAATAAGCACAAGTTTAAACTCAATGAAATGTTAGGTACTAATAATGACGTACCATTTGCAACTGAGTAAGCGAAAGACTAAATAAAATTTGTTCAATTCAATTGGACTTAATGTTATACAAAATGTATATTCATGTTTGTCTTTCAACGAGTGGAATAAAAATATTAAATTGTAATGTTCGAGTGAGGTTTCTACGCGGTCACGCACATGGATGCAGCATATGGATCAAATAAAAAGATATAACAAATTATCATAGATAACTAGTGTATACGCAATTTATTAATATTAATTTTATGGGTAAGAAGAGCACACAATGTTTATCTAACGCGCGTCTGTAATTTACAGATAAAAGAACAAAGAATATAATATATACAAATTCACAAATGAGTATTAAATAATTAATAACTTATAAACTGCCCAATTATCTTAAGATAATAATTCCGTACAATTTTTAGATGATAACCCAAACTTGTGTCAAAAATTTAATTAACTATTTTTGCGCCACAAAAGAAAGACTGGTTATTTTATCTTAGTAGAGCCTTTGTACTGAATACCTTAGCTATGATGATGCATTGGTATTTATGACATTTGATAAAGTTCTTTGTTATTTAAATTTTCAAATGTTAATAACCTTTTATATGATTCGTCTCTATAAAATTTTGTTAACAAAAATGTTTAGAATCTGCAGAAACATTTTATAGTTGACTATTTTTACATAAATGTATTTAACATGAAACAATTATTTGAACTTCACAAAATATCTTTCGCATGATACTTACATTTGTAAAATTATTTAATCTTAACCTTTTTTAATGTGCTGATTCAATTAATTATATTGTGCTTATCTGTCTACTTTAATCTCAACTAGACAATTAAGACTTCTATAAATAATTTAATATAAATTAAAATTTGAAATATAATTTTCATTTAATATAGCAATAAAATATTATAGGAAGTTAAATGTGTTAGGAAATGTTCTTTGATGATTTTTAAACAAAATAATACAAACATTAAGTTTTTGTTAGAACATTTTTATTTAACTGATTAAAAAAAATGTTCAATTAAATACTTTTTATACATAAAAAATAATAGCTTATTCAGACAACACTGGATGGTATTAGTTTATGTAATGAGTAAATATTATTAATTAATAAATATTAAATTCATAAACTTTACTATAAAAAAAACAAAAATTACAACCGTAGTGACGAATTTGACAAATTAGAGTGTAAACTAAATTTTCATTATTTCAATATTGTCTTAACAATAATATTAATTTATAAATAATTAAAATAATTAAATTATTATTTGAACATTGCTGATCAATAATAAGTAATTAGGATAAAGACGAGACAGAAAAATATTAATTGGATATAATATAAATTAATGATAGTTACTCATTTTTACTGAAAAATATAAAAATATAGTAATAATAGATTGTTTAATAGCTATTCTTAACAAAAAAAATCATTCATTCTAGTTTTTATTTCTATTATAATTGTTCCCAATAATATGGGAACAATATAGATCTTCAAGATTTCGCACATGTACACTTAAGATCACTTTTTTTTAATGTATTGTTCTCTCTAATTAACCTTATAACTCCTTATGAGAACACTCATGAGGTAATTATATACACTTTTTTATAAAAAATTTATCTCGTACTATAGTAGCACGGGTTAGATTGGTTCATATTATAAACCTATGATATTTGCTGGTTGGTATAAGTAAGTAAAATATTAATTAATAAAACTAAAATTATGTATAATTAACAAAAATGAATTGTCAACGTTATAAAAGTAACTGATAGTGTAATAAATTACGTATAAAAATAGATTGCTAGTTTAGCTCATCGAGCTGTAAATAGACAACCCACTACACTTTATCCAGAAGTTGATAATTTTTATTTATGCCTAAGTTTACGTTAGTTTAATACTTATAAAGTAAATTGTGTATATTTACGGAACTATTGGAAAATAAAATAAATCTCTCTAAAATTTCATTTTAAAAATTAAAAAGCTCATTTTTTATTATTTGATTATATTTTTTATTTTTATTCATTTTTAACCAAAATAGTGTAACTCTATTTTGAGCAGTGTGAGCCCCACCTCCAACCAAATTTGATTGAAAGTTTTTACTCATGCGCAGAACAAAATAATTTATTATTGCCGTATTTAATAAGATAGATGTTTTCAAAAGCAGCTTACAAAGTTCAGTAATACACTTGTTATACCTTAGCACGTAAACAATACTCACTAGGTGTTTAAAATTGATTCCATTCCGCTAAACTGTATCAATTTTATTGTCCTCTTGCTCAAGTATAGAGATATCTCAATGTAAATTGTTAATTAAAAATAATTATCTATTTATCATCGATTATTGGGCTTTTACAGTATGAATTTAATAGTTTGGGGACTCATATCTTCAGTTGTATAGAGTTTTCGTGGCAAAAAACATTTAAAATATTAATAGTAGATGTATATTTATGATAAATTAATAATTACGCGTTTATAATTATAAATGTAAAAACAGTTTAGATACATTTAAAAAATGACATTATTTTATTTTGTGAACATTCACTTTAATGACGTTCCGGATTTCATTAAGGTGTTGCGAATTGGGTTTTGTGTAGTATATGTCTATATAGTTATATTTATATAATCATTAATGTACTTATATTGTATTATCATGTGGGAATGGAATCATAGATAGTTAATATTATATAAGTATTTGCCAAGCAAACGCCATGGTTCTTCTAGAACATTTGATGCTTGTTCAGCTCTTTTTCATTATATAAGACTAAGACCATTGCCAGCCAGGGCGCGACCAGACAGTCGAGTTAGTTAACACTAGTTCGGCTGAATCTTTTACTAAATCTTCATCAAATTTTTTCTAAATCTTATATTTGCGTAAAATTGTTATTTTTTGTAATTAAAGTATAAAGTGTGTAGCTAATTCAAATGTCTAATTATTATTTATTTAAGGTACCACATTGGATTCACAACAAAGGTAAAATATGGCTTCTAATTCGGCATCTTTGATTTTTCTAATTACAATTTTCTTAATAGTTTATACCTATTATACATGATAATGAATAGTAATCACATTACGCTACATATTTTTCAACATTTTGTTTTGTCAAAATTATCAGCAACATTAAAAAAAAAACAAAAATAATCAAGCACATGTTTATTTAGGAATATATTGTACTTACTGTTAAATAACAGTTCATTATCTAAAATTATGAAAAAAATTGTCACCAAAAAGGGTAACATTACTTCTATTAGTTACTGCACAACTTAGTTACCTATTTTAGTAGGAGTGAGCAGTGTCAGCTGGGATGTGTCCTAGTAAACCTAACGATTTAATTTTTTGGCGTAAATAATTGTTTTATTTGCATATGTAGACGAAACATAATTATTAACTGGTTTAAAACAAAGTAAACATATTTAAGGTAGAATTTGAATGCATTAGTTGCTTTATTTTTTATATTAACTATTTTACTAATTTTTTTTCTAATGCAAATAAGTTTAATGAATGTTATTGTACAAGTTGATTATAGGCCTCAATATACACATTTTTTAATGTGTTCTTATAACTAAATTAAAATTTAATTAAATGAAATAATCGAAAATTATCAATATACAGTAGTAAAATGTAGATAAAAAAATAATTTTGAATAGAGTTGAGAGTAGATTATGTTGACATCTTCAAATTTAAATTGAACCTCTTTAAAAAGTATCACCATAAAAACTTGAATTCAGTAGGAATACTACTTAATTTACTGAGATCAATTGGTAAAGATCTCGTGTGAGCTTAATTTATATTAAATTGATTAATTTTACCAAGTAATCAAAAATATGGTAATAATTGAAGTTTAAAAATATTTAAATGGAAAATCAATCTGATGACCACCTTAGTTATGCTTTTAGATAATTATTAGGTTTATTTTTTCAGAAACTGAGCTAGTTCAATTAATTATAAGCAAAAAAAAAAGAAATATGTTAAATTTAAAGACAAAAAAAGTGTTCATGTAATTTTTTCTCAAAAATTGTGATTGTTATATTAATATATTTAAAAATATTTCATTATAAAATGTATAATATTTCTATATTTTTTAAAATCCAAGAAGTTTATCTTGCTCATGTATCAATCTCATTCTGTCCCATTTGAATTTAGAATTGATTCTGATTTCCAGAGATTTTTAATTATAATATGAAGTTACAAAAGTATTAATAATAAGAAAAAAAGGTTTAATTATTTAATTTTTATTTAATAGATAAAAAAATACGAAGGGTGTTTATTATAGATCTTTTTTATTTAATATAATATTAAAAAATCTAAAAAATTACATAAATGCTCAAAAAAAAAAATATTAAAGAATTCTTAGCAAATATTAACGTCTGGGTTGAAGTGATGCTAAATAAATCCATACAGAGAGAACTTGATTTGGATATGGATGTATATAGACAGCTAAAGCAAATTCAACTTGTTCGTTTTCATTCAAATGTAAACCGGTAGCTTTAACAGCATCAATGAGCTGTTCTGTACTACTATATAACTTATTTATTGGAAATCCACATATCTATCAAATATAAATTAAAAATTCAATTAAATCAATCGTCTCAATGAAAATTAAAGTAGTAGTTGTTATGAATGGGCCATTAACTGTTGTTAACTATATTTGAAGTGGCTAAGAGCACTTAACACCAAAAAGACCACATGTATTTTAAAATTGTTTAAAAATTTAGAATTAAATTATTCTGTAACACTGAAGGCAATTAACTGAAGAAAATTCTTAAACTTTCCCAAGCAATAATAGAAGAACAGTTCATCAGATAAAAAAAATTATAAGAACTAAATTATTTGAAAATTTTTTTATCATTACAGTAAACTAAATTTAAGGATTCCCATGAAAGAAAATTAAAGTTGGTGTGTTATAACCATAAAGCAATGAAAAAAAAAGTATTTAAATAAATATGATTATAGAGTTTTTTAAAGCAAAAAATTTTTTCCTTTATAAAAATTTAAAATATTTAATAATTTCTGAGAAAATGAGTCTTATCTTTAATAAATCACTCACTAGACTTTCCATTTAGTAGTATTTAAAACTTTAAAAAAGATTCTTGAAGAGCTTAAGGTATACTAAATTTTTTAATTGTACCAATGAACTTTGTATTTGATTAATATAATTACCCTATGAGACACAAGTAAATGCTGAAGCTCATCAAGATATGAAGTATCAACATTATTATTTTTTGTCCAAGTTTCTTTTTCTAGGTAAGGTAAAATTTTCCTTAAAACTGAGATACAATATCTATTCCATACTGTCTTAGACTTTAATCTCCATTTCATTAGAGAGTTTCTTAAAATATTTTCTAATTTTTCTTGTAAAAAGCGAGCATCTGATATTGCTGCAGGAGTATAATCAATTGTAGGTGGCTGAACTGAACCTGCAATAGTTGGTGCAGCTTGAAATCGTCCAAAAGCAGGATACCAGTCTCTTTTTTGTCTAACATCCCAATTGGTTCTGGGAACAGACTTTTCAATTTGTATGTTTAACCATATCTGCAATGTATTTAAAAAAAAAAAAAATTATTTCAAAATGTTATACTGTATTTTTTTAATTTTAAATCATTTTAAAATATGACATACATTTTCATCATTTATTAAGCAGTTAACTTCTTGTAGAGGTGAAAAACTGTCACTAGTAGAATATTTTTGTCCACTTAAAGGATCCCATATGTTGTACATAGTGGAATGATCTGGAAGTGTATTTAATGTTAAAACATATGCAGCTTCACCACGAGTGATACCAGTTCCTAATATTAACCACACTTTGATGTCAAGTTTCATAAAATAACAACAAAGAAGAATACCATGATCAACACCTGAGCTTCTACCAAGGAGTAAACCCAAAAGTTGCTGAAATCAAAAATTTATTTAAAATTAAAATATTGAAAACAATGGAATGTAAACTTACATCTCCTGTTAACCATACATCAAAATGACCCATTAATAAAATATTACTATGGATAACAGGTATTAGAGATACAAATCTAGCAATCATCTCCGAGGAAGTTTGATAATCTTCTGACAATACTAAAATAAAACATATATGTCTTTTAAAAACATATACATATTTTTTTAAATTTGAACAAAATATTACATGGAAGGGGTAAAGGTCGAAAATATCTTGTTGCACAAACAGTTTTGCCACTGCAATGTATCACAAGAGTTTTTACTGGACGCTTGGAATATAATTTTACTCCTTCAGTAGACCAATACTCTAAATACCTTTCAAAATTTGGTGTTTCATTGCAGTCTAATTTTTCCTAAGAAAAAAATCTTTCTATAATAATATTTCGTATATAATCAATGTATATTTGGTAAATATACAAGTGATAGTAGTGTTTCCAAACTATTTTTTTGGACATCTTGAAAATAAATATAAAATTTTGTAGTTTTAGATAATTTAATAAGATACACCCATATTTTCTGTTTTTATAAATTTACTAAATTACATTAAATTATTTTTATGTATTACTTTAATAAGTTCAGTAGAATTCAGCGGTGGTTGAGCCATTATAAATAAACTTAAAAATGTTGAATTTCGATAATGAGAGCTTTCAGTACTTGACATGTGTCTTTCATAACCTAATAAATGCTTTGGGGTATTCAATTGAAATGTCCCTTCAATCTAAAAAAAAAAAAAAAAAAAAGAAATAACTGGAAATTATTCTTATAGAAATTAAAAGTAAACAAACTTTTAAAAATGTTTTGAATAATATTAAAATTAAATTGGCATATAAAAACCATTCATCTATTGAAGATAAATCGCTATTAAATAGAATGGCAATTTTAATTATTTTGTATAATTAACTACCTAATTTAAAGATAATGATCCTATAAAGAAAATGACCGGTCAATAACAACTTTTGGACTAGTATTTCAGAATTTATTAACATTTTTAAACAAAGGCTGGAAAGATTGAGTGTGCCTAAGAAATGTCTGGTAACAAAATTACCAGTATCCTACCTTACCTCCAGTCATTACTTATTTATTTATTTTGTACAACATACAGAATATAAGCACTACACAATCAACAAATTTAAATAGTCAATACTTTAAATTAAATAAATTGTTTTGGTTAATAATAATTTTTCATTTTCTTAATTAGATCATTATTTAATAAATAAGCTAGTTAATTATGTAATAATAATTAAAATATCCAAGCTTTTCAATGTAAAAACACAAGATAATAAAGATAAATACAAAATATTAAATATATAAGTACAACTTAAATTGATACAAAATGATAAAATAAGGGATTATACTTACAGTCTCAATTAATATTCTTCCTTAATATTATACTTATATATTAAAAGCAAAACTTACTTGAGAATTATTTAATAATGCTGAAATTGGTAGTGTACAGCTACCTAACCAATGTCTTTCTAATCGTTGATGGATATTAGTTTCTCGAACTCTATCATCTTCTAAAATATCAACTGTGATTTCATCATACATGTTGATATGAATGTAATCATTAATAATCTCAACTTCATTTGAATAAAAATCAACAGAATTCGATCTAAACAAATATTTTTTATTGTAATATAAATTACAATTATTCATGAACATAATAATAATTAATTTTTTTTATAATAATACACTAAAAATTATGTATCAAAACTATGATTACAAAGTGATCAATTAATATTTAAAAAAATAATATTTGGATCTATAAGTAAATCATTAATAAGCTTAGTGCCAATACTTTCTGTTTTTTATTACAAACTTGTAAAAATAAAAATGTTCATTATTTATTATTTAATAAGTATTTTATTTGTGAAAAAAATGTATAATTTTTCTTTAAAATATCTTATTGTTATAAAAAGGACTCAGAACATAAAGCATTTATAAAGTTTATATTAGTTTTATGAATCAATGATAAAACATGTTTTTATTTAAATACTAAATAATTTATGCTAATTAGATATTTAGTTATGGAGGGTATATGAAAAATTACTCTTCCTAACCTATGATATATTTTCATGAAGAAGAATGTTTGAAAGTATATCAAACAAATTTATAAAAAGATTTATCTTTCGATCCCTAACTAAAATAAGATTTATATATATATTAAAAAAAAAAAAAAGGTTTCTTATACATTTTATTATTTTTTATACTATATAATATTTCAATGATAATTTAATATTTATTCAGAAAATATTTTAACAATTATTAATAAATAAACATTTTTCAACAGAAACCTCTATAAATAAATAAATTGTCAAAAATATAATATCAATTTTTTTGTCTCTCCTAAAGTATTAAAAATATTTTATGATGTATTGCTATTAAGGTACCGATGAGTAATATGTTTCAAAACTGACCTCACTGTAAGATGTAAATCTTGATTCCAAGTAGGATTAGAGCCTTCAGCTGTTGTTGTTCTACTTGTATAATTTTTAAATGTAATTTCAATAAATGGCTGAACTGGAACCATTGCTACATCTCCAATCATAATATCTGAATTTTTTCGAATAGGAACTTCAAAAGCTCTCATTACATTTACAGTAACCTCAAGTTTATTACCATAAAAATAAAAAATAAAATAATTTTCATACTCAAAAAATTGTATTTTGTAGAATAAAAAAATGATGATATACTTTGATTTCTTGATCAGACAAACACTTAACAGGTATTTTTTTCCTTTCTTTTCTCCTAGGTCTTAATGGACGTTTTGGTTGGAACATTTTCATAAAAGTCAATCCAAGAGTTCTAAAAAATAAATTGTGCTCCAATATAAATAAATAAATTTAAATTTAATCTTACTCACCCAATGTCTGGTACACTATCTTCAACAATTATATCCCTAGTAATTTTATTTCTGTTTCCAAGTTTACATTGTTTAAGAATTTTATCATATAGCCTTATAATAGAATAACGACTCCATATCCTACTAGTTTCTATAGTTCCTAAACCAGCAACTTCTAGAGCTAATTCAGATGTTGACAAGCGATTCTCAAATTCCTAATAATGAGCATTGGTATTTTTTTTAATTCATTTCAATACCGTTAAAATAAATATTTTAATTATACTATAAGATTATATAATCTTATACCTTAATTTATGAAAAATTTAGCTTTAAAAAACACCATATATGGTTAAATAATTATTATTAGAAAAAATATTAGAATTTAATGAAGGATTTGGTGTAATATAGCACTATCAGAGGGGAAAGCTTTATTGAAAACTAAAAAAAAAACTTTTTAAAATGAAATTCAATTTGAACTTACACTAAAAATGTCTTTAGGTATTGCCCATTCTTTTAAAGGGATTGCTTTTATTGATCGAAATTCTATTTCTCCTCGATCACGTAATTTTAATAACTTCAGTCTAGGATTTGATTCTAATTCTTCTTCTGAACAAAATTCTAATAAATGTTTGTAAATATTTAATCTGAATTTAGAATTAATACTACGAATCATTTCATCATCTAAGCTCTATAAAACAAAAAATATATAGAAGATCATCAAAAAAGATGACTTATAAAAATCATCATAAAAGATTTTTTTTGTTCTTGTTTAGATAATTAAAAATCTTTTACAATACATTAGTATTAAAATAAGTTCATAAGAATAAAAGGTATACATAAATATTAAAATATATATAACATTATCATCTCCATTTAGGTGTTTCTAACTGAAAAAGGAAAACTTAAACACAATAAAATTAAATAAATTTAAAAAAAATATTTTTTATAAAATTTAATAATTATTTAATTATTGATAAATATTTTGAGGTTTAAAGATATAGTAATTGAAAATATGAAAAACAATAACATATTTTTCTAATATAACTAATACTTGAATTGGATACTAATAATATCCAATTCTATTTCATAATTTCTGTTTATTTGGTTCAAATTAAATTTAGTTAAATAGGTATCTTTCGAAGTTCAATGTATATTTATTTTCCAGTTACCAACATAGAAACTTTAATTTACTGAAATATAAGTTTACACTTAGAATTGGAATACATATCTTATTTGAAAACTTTAAAACTTGTAGTTCATTATAACAAAAATTTTTAATTATAATAATATTTATTTGTTTATTTTTATATTCCACTTTTATCACATTAAAACCATAATATAATTTTAAAAATATTTACTGTTCATTAATATTATTTACTAAGATATTTTGTATTTAATTAACTCATTAATCAACATAAATTACAGCAAAAAAATACTTGTAAAGTAAAAAAATTAATTGATATTGACCTACTTTAATAGCATCATAAAATGAAGCATTATTCGGATCATTTGGATCAGGATGTATATCATTCATCCAATTCAATATTTTTTCCGTTTTAATTGGCAGTATATTAAATCTGTGAAAATAGCTATAGATAAAATATTTCATACATTAATAAGAATAAATAAACTTACTTCGTTGAATAAAGTTCACTAAAATAATTTTCTGGAGGACTTAAAATTTTATCACCAAATTTTCCCCATCCAACTTTGCAAATCACCTCACCAGAAGTGTACAAACAAAGAGATTCTGAATCTTCAGGAAATATTTTAAAATCTATTCCACTTCCAACACCAGAATTTTGAACATTTTGACTTCCAAAACAGCTAAATTCTAAATTTTCTGTTTCAATTATATCTAAAGTTACATGACTAAAAATATAAAAAACATTTTTATAAAATAATTATATACTTAGTAAATTAAATTATTAAAAAATTCATCATTACTTAATAGGAAATGGTATAAAGAGCTCTGTAATAGGGTTTTTGTTAAAAACAGTTTTTAAATTTGTATTATCCATATGTATATTTAAAGACAAAGATTCAGGCCATTGATGAATTTCAACAACAAATTTTTGATTAAATTCTGCACAAAAATCGTTATTCATTGGTTTTTTTATAGATTTACAAACAACATGACTATTAAATATAATTTCAAACCACAGGAAACATTTGGCTAATGCATTTCTTCTCTGAATTTCACTAAAATTAATTTTAATTACAATAAATCTACTAGATATAAAGTATGTTTGGTAATTTTAAAATGAGTTGAAAAATAGCTTTACTCTTTAGCATTTATCTTATCATTAGATAATGGCTCAATATTTGTTACTACAAAATTTATTAATGGATCTCCAGGAGACCGAATAGATTCGGACAATCTATTTAAAATTTCATCTCGAATTTTAGTAATATTAACTTCAATATTATTATCTTTCAGTTCTTCAATAGTTTCTTCTATCTGTCTATAATTTAAAATGCAAAATAAATAATAGTAGATAAAAATTTTTATATATATACTAAAACCCTAAAATTATAAAATAATAAATATAGTATAAATATTAATTAAAATTAAACGATTATTTTGATATTTTACAATAATTAATTTAAAATGAATGAAAATTTACACTATAAAATTATAAAACATTTTTAACTAAAAATGATTATTGAATAAAATGCATACTTATTAAATTCAGTTTCCCATTCATCAGTATTATCACAATTTTCAACAATTATTTCCAATTTTGTATTAGTTATTATATATTCTTGTCTTTCTCTTAGCTTTTTTAAGTCTCTCCAAGTAGCTAAAATATTAGATATCAATGAGCGATCAGCTTTACCTTCTAACATACATTGAGCACGAGTTTCTTTTATTTCGGTTTTATACCTTAATAATCATATTTTAATTTGTTAAATAAAACAATGAAACTTGAATAAAAAAAATTACCTTTGTAAACGATTTTTATGAATTTCCAACAACTCTTCATTATTTTCCTCAGTTATAACTTTTAATAATGTACTTTTAGCATTTCTTAAAGCTTCTAATCTACCAGAAAGTATTTTTGTTCTAGCCATTTCTTGACGATGTTTATATTTTTTATAAAGCTGCATTAAGCGTTTATCAAGTACATGCTGTTTACTAAAAAGGGCATGATGACTAAACTGAATTTTTTCTATTTCTAATTCTAGAACAAATTTTACTTCCTTGGAATTTAAATTTGAATTAAAAGTGTAAGGACTCAAAAACGGTACTGCCTAAAAAGAAAAAGATAAAATCATTAACTTTATAAAAATGATACAATGTTTTTGGATACTTACGCTAGTATAACTTAAATCTAAGAAACGATTATTGTTGAATATATTAGGTACATAGCATGCAGATAAATTATCTAAAGGATCTGGTAATCTAATTAATTCACCATCTTCTCCAAACCAATGACTTAAAAAATAAAAAATTTTTTTATCTAGGTACATTTTATGATAACAATTTAAAACATACAACTCTTTAGCTTTAATAATTCTCTGTTGAAGTTTATTAAGACATTTTTTATGAACTGGAGGATAAGAATATACGTATAGTCCTTCCTTTTCTGGATAGTGTGGTTGCCTGTTGTTCAAGCGCTCTGTTATGTTCACTAAGGTACAAAAAATATTATATCCAAGAGTAATTTTTTTAAACTCTAGGTATAACTTTAATTAATTATTAATAGCTAATTTTATATTGATTTATGAATTAAACCTGGTGATCCATTAGGAATAAATAATAATTCTTTGGTTGCTTTTTTTATATTAATAGATGTATCCATTGAAGGTAATATTTTATGATCTAGTACTTCAATTTCTTCTCCATCTGACAAACCTAAAAAATCAGTTGTTACTAATTTCTTGTTTTCTTCATTTGGATATGAAATTTCCACTTCTAGAATAATACACACATCGTGAAATAAAATTGTAAATAATGTGTACACTTTATTTAAACAAACCACAGGAGTCATTTGGTTGATTTTGTTGTTCTTGAATAATTGGAGGATCCCATACTTTTGTAAAGAAATCATAACTCTCTTCTTCATGATTTTTCTGTTAAAAATATAAAATAAAAAAAAGTAATGTAATAAAAGTGTATTTTAAAATATTAATAATAGTAAACACATAATTAAGAGTGTAAGTGTAACTCTCAAAGCTGTGAGTTAATAAATATGAGTGAACAATAAATTTAAAAATAAATCAGTAATAATAAGGACAATTATACTTCTATTAATATGTATTTTACAAGTACAAGAACTATTTGAATGCAGTAATATATGCAAATGAAATATTTTATTTTATTCAAATTTGATTAATGATTGTGTTCTTTAAGTTCAAATCCAATTAAAGCTTTTAAAATGTACTTCAAGATTAAAAAAAGCGAAAATGTCCTGATAACTTTTAAATAATAGGTGACTAAAGTCATAATTTCTAAAATTTCTATTAAAATTCTTCAATTAATTTTCTGGTCTTTCTCTATAAACAATCATATTGAAACAATTTATGTGATGTTAATCATTGTCAAAATATAATCTTTACTGGAGACTACAGTACTGAGTATCAGGGTTTTCAAATTTCAATTATATAGTTTAAAAAAATACACATAAATAGAACATACTACTACATATAACATTTTGTTCTTTTTATACTAATATTACTTACCTAAAATAAAAACAGTCTCTTCTATATATATAATATATTGTGCATAAACAATTTGAATTAGCGCAAATAAATACATTTTAAAAAGCATGTGTAGAAAACTTCAATTCTTAGACATATTAATACTGAACACATAATAAATACAAGTAATATGCATGATTTTTTTTTCAAAAAATTCTAATAAACCTGATACATATCGCTGAGTTCTAAAATTTGATCTTGTCTATCTTTTTCGTGTTTTTCTAAAGCAATTTGAACTGCAAGATTTTCAGAACTTATCTAAAATTTAATTATTTTATTTTCAATTACTTAGTGATATATTTACATTGCCTAACAGAAATAACATGTAATTCTAGAATTATAATTTTATAAGATTCCAAAAAACATATGACATCTCATCTTAAAAAGCATTATTACTTTATAATAATGCTTATTATCTTTTTTTAATTTTAAAATTTTATTACTGAATATATAATATATGTCATTGAAATGAAAAAAGTGCACAAGAATGTTGTGTTTATTTATTACCATAATATCTAGATAAATAATTTGTCAATTTGTGTACTTTCTGCTAGACAGTCGATATAAAAATTGAAACTAAATATTAATGCTATATATCAATCAACAAATAAAATTAGAAAAAAAAATTAATTCTGACAAATTTTTTTTAATAATAATGTGTACTATGCACAAGTTTTTTACTTATTTGAAAAAAATTATCCTTATGGAATACAGAGTAAAACATAATTTCAATATTTGATTAAGAAATTTGTAATAATTTAATAAGTCTATAATTTGTAATAAATTATAGCTTAAGATATCATAAATGAAAATAAATGTAAGGAAAACTTAAAATATTCAATTTATTTTTTATTTATTTTAAAAGTATGGTGTTTCTAATACTATCCAATAGGTAAGGCCCATGTGGGCTACACCTGTTATATCATTGCTAAAAACAATTCTTACAAAACAGGTGATAAAAATTTTAATTGTAGCATATCCAATGAAATTATTTTTGTACCCAACCCATTAAATACTTTTAAAAAGTGCTTCTAATTAATGTTAATTTTACCATTTGTGCAAATCGATCTGCAGGTTGTTTGATATTATGTAACGTTTTAGATTTAGTGTGTTCAACAACAGAATTAGAAGCCTTTTCCTAGAATCAAATAAGATGAATACACCACATAAGTATAAAAAACTAAAAACTAATTTTACTTTAACTTGGTTGACATGTTCTCGTAAACGGTCTTTAAAAGAGCGTATTTCAGATTGGGAAGTACATGGACTAGATATACCATCTAATGATGGTCTACGGCTACCTAGTAGACTTGTAGGGCTGGTTACCTTTAATAAAGTAAAAAAATAACATAAAAACATTTCATTACAAATATTTATTTTGTACCGAATCTAAGACAAGGTTGGACTCTTCATGAGGTTCCGTTGCGTCTGCCCAATAATCTGTTACTTTCAAATCGTTTTCATCCATTATTTAAAAATAACTTGATAAAATATTTAACAACTTTACAATTTAAATTAGATAAAAATTCAGATTGAATCCTTCCTGAATTTTTTGAAATACATAATACTAATAAGTAATAAATTTTTTAACTTGGCTAAGACATTTGAATAAACCAAGTATTTTTTTAGTTGTTTGTTTACAAACCATCTCTATGGTGATGACAAAACAATGATAAAAACAACATGATAAGTTCGCATTATCATTAAAAAACAAAGACTATCAACGTTGTGACATCAGGGACTCTTGAGAAAAATTATTGCAAGGGAGGTGCAAACATATTTTTTTTTATAGTGATCGCCTATTCCTCTATTATCTAAGAAAATAATTTTTTTCAAGATAAAAATTGTTTGAAAAATTTGGATTATATAAATTAGCTTTAAAATACCCAGTCTGATGGAATAGCTATTTGATAATTTAAACAAGATCATTTGGCATCAAAATTTAATAATTTTTTGTTCCTGGTGTAGTAATAAATATATAATATAATATATATTAAATTTGAACGATAGACAATGACAAGAATAACACGACTGCGAATTTTTTTGAAAATATAATAATTGAAATTTTAGTAATTCTTTAAAAACGGTATTAATAGTAAGTTACTATGGTTTCTATACATTCACTCAGACCAAACACAAGGTGCTTACCGGATGGTTACACTAAGATGATTTTTATTGCATTTAATGAATGTTGTAATAACTCTTATTATTCACATTTTGTACGCTGGACTACTCGAAAAGGGTGAGTGAAAACCGTCGCATGAATGAAATAACAATTCAAAACCGTATATCTTTTTCTAGTATTTATGGCCAGTATTAATTATTAGTACCCATACAAAAGTACAGAAAAACACCTGAGAAGTCATACTTGACTGAGCGCGACGACGGTGCAAACACACAGATGGAAATTTGAATCAGAGCGTCGGTGTTTTTTTACCTTCATCCTCATTTTTTTCGGTCACGCATGCAGCTGTATCATGATTTTTCCGCCTGCATTGTGTTCACAAGGTGGATTCACATGTTAAGATGTTAAAAATCATACTCATTCATCAAATATTAGTCGTCAAAAGCTATCATGAAAAATATAATAAAAAATGTTGAAATTTTCATTATGGTATTTATTATTTCTATCGGCTATCATTGCCGTTAAAAGAAAAACCATACAAACACAATACTAACGTCACACAAATGCTAATATACTGTTTTTCAAGAAATGGTAGCAACAAAAAACCATCATAATTTATTACGTTTTTTTATACATTTTTTCAATGTCAATCATAACTTTGAAAACTACAAATGCGGCTTGAATATCAAAAATTATGGATTAAAATTTGTAGTATAAAATTGATCATTTTTTAAATAATTATTTCTAGTTATTATATGATTATGGTAAATTTATTTACGTTTTTACGAGCTAATTTTTTTTGATTTTTATTCTAAAAAATTTTTATTTAGACAATAGTTTTAGATAATTTAAAAAAATATTATTTATCTTATACTAAAAGAAGTTAAACAAAATTAAAAGGTAAAACAATTTCCGTGGTTCTTTTTTTGTAAATTTTTGTCGTATAGTTAATTGGTTGAAACGTATCAATTTTCCTAGCAGTAGATTTTTAGCGCTTTTGTTATAAACTTAATGCTATTTAGAAAGATTTAAAAAACTTGTCAGAGGAGACTATTAAGTAAACTTTTTTCAATTATCTTAGTATCTTAAATTCAATAAAAATGATCTTGTGTTGACCTCAAATGAGCAAAAAAAATCTAGTGAATTGGCTTAATGCGTCGACGACCTCGTTGAACACGTGTACACTGAACTATTCTTTAATAATGAATACACGAATTCAAAGTCGTTTTATTGGAGTTTCACAATGGATACCAATGAACTATGCAGCTGGTTGAAAAGTGAGATCATTTATGGTCAATCTTCCTAATCCTACGAGGGCCGTGAATACAATATTCTCCATTATAAGACCTCAAAAATATGTGAATTTCCCGTCCATGATAAAAGTCTATTCATTAAATATTTCAATGTATGTAGGAAAACAATTATTTAACTTGTAATCAAAAAATAATACTTTTTTTATGTTTATTGTAGAGCCTATTATAAAATGTTTATCATTTTATATTTTGTTTTTTTATAGTAAATGAGGTAAACTAATACATAACATATGTATAATCGACGAAGAAAATGTTAGTTATAAAATTTTCCAAAATGTCAAAACAACTACATTATCTGTATAGAATTTACGATTTCAATAGAAAATGTATAGTGAAAATAAACATTCTATTTGTCATGTTAATGTTTCCATTAAAGTTAATTATATTACGACTCAGTGAAATGTTTGAATTAATACCTTAAATCATTATATTTATTTCGACTTTCATAGTTATCTATAAACAGTCTATACTACTTTGAAATAATATTAAAATAAGTACAGATTGTATTTTTACAGTCAAAAACAAATGTTTTTTGAACAACAATAGAAAAAACATATAGCATTTGAGGCAGTGATTAGATGAATTGATTATCACTGATATTGCTATTGTAGACACTATTTTTATTATTTCTAAATTTTCTTGTACGTCTATTGCGTTTCTTTTTATCGTTTTCAGCTAGTCTATTGAGAAAAAAAATAAACATATGAAATACACAATGTAATAACTTGCATATTATATTGATTGGCTCTAGGTGAGTTTTCCTCATCATAGCTATCTTTTCGACTACGTCTTGTTGAAGATTTTAACACGAAATATCCATTGGAGATCTCAAGTTCAAAATTATTATATGTTAAAAGTAATATAAAATATTTTTTAAAATATTGGGTGTTTCTTTTAAGCTATTAACGTTTTTAATTGCAGAACACTGTTTCTTTTCTTTTCTACTGGGCTGCGTGATTTCTGTCTTTAAAATCTAGTGGACACTTTAAAACTTTTTTCAATATACCACTAGCAAATTCAAAATTTCAAGATGTCTCGTAAACATTATTTTGGTTTATTTTTGGTAAGCTCAAAATTATTATATGATAAATATCCGGTGTATCATATTACTAATTTTCATTAATTTTTTTCTATCGAAATATTAAAATTGTGTTCGTATAATATTTATATTTTGTGCATCGCATTAGTAGGTCACGGCATATAAAAGGAACTTGTTGATGAAGATCAACGGGAAACAGTATTAGCCCTTGAATTCCGTACGTTGATGGTCCGAAAAATTTTTTTTGTATTTTTTAGTTTAATATATTCCTTGGATTATCAATTATTAATAACTCAGTTAGAAAAATATTAACAACATAGTTTAAATATACGACTCATTTCGTCCACTTTAACATCTTCACTGAGAGGTCATAGCAATAGGTCCCTTTCTTTCTGTCCAATAGATAAAATTTAATACATTTTATTTTACACTTTCTATAATTTATCTAATTTTCTGATATAGTAGTATAAGCCCAAGGTGTTCCGTGAGTAAATTAGCGCATTCGATTTTTCGATGCCCAGTGTACGTCAGTAATCATCCAATTAAACGTGTAAGCGAATTGTTTACGATTTTAAAATCATGTGCACAGCCAGATAATGCACACGAATACGAGTCCCATCATACGTTTCTACACTTGTCCTCTCGCGACGTTGATAGAATAAATCGAGAAGATTTAGGGATGGAAACGAACATTAATAAAAAAGTTACGCCAACGATGGAGATTTCGAAGTCGATCACGTTGCAACGTACGGAAACAGAACTATTTTGCTGCCAATTACAGTATTGTATGTAAAAAATTAATGGGGTGAGTCGGCACCTTGTAGGGTTGTATTGGACTATTACTTTGTACAAGGAAGATAAAAAATTACAGTGATTGTCTAACGTTTTAAAAAACGCTGTATAACTGGATTCCGTGTAGTTGTGTTTTTGAGAATGTGAACCACCACAATCACGTGTGTGTTTTACACGTTCAATGCAGGAAAGGATACGCTGTTAAAAGATATCGCATCGTCGTTTTGAAAAATAGAAGAGTATGATTGAAAAATTACTTATACAATGGTAAAAAGCGTGTAATGCGTGTTTTGGCAGAACGGCAAGGCGTGATGAAAACGAACGGTTTTAAGTGCACCTAGCGTTAAAGATAATTTGCTGGATTTAAAAAGCGAATATCAACATAAAGATTGTCGAAACTAAAAGGCGAAATATGTTGAATTCATAGAAGAGTATAAACACGGAAAGAGTCAACGAAAATGAAATAAACGATCACGCAAAAAGGGTATGCTATTAACCGTATCATGCGGTGCGTAACGAAAACAGGTCGATCGCAAAGAAATAGGGTGTGGTGGTTTTTAACGCGTTCAGCAAAAATGAAACCGGAATAAGTTTGATTAAAGTGATTTGCGATACAATACGAGTTGTATAATATACAGTTTATAAACATACATATATTAGCTCGTTTTAGAACGTATAATTTTGTTCTAATAGCAGATATCGCAAAAATGTACTAACGAATTCAGGTATAAACATCCATTTTGATTTTCAATGAATTTTATGGCGTAATTCTCAGTCGGAATCAATAAAAATTTTCTGTCTAAACACACTCACGTATAGGACCACCCCCGCTGGATTTTTAACAATTGTACACCTACATAAGTTAACAGAAGCGGAAAGCATACCCGGACGCGTGTCTATCTATTTTCAATGTTTTTTATGTTGATGACCTACTTACGGGGTACATCTAAAGCAATAAAATTACGCGACGATATTATAAAGGTGTCAATATGAGCCGAGTTAGAACTGAGGAAGTGGTCGTCAAACGACAGCAGCCTATCAAACGATAGTAAGGATAATGTCGGCAAATACGATGAGTGGTCGTTTAATAATTAATAATATGACGGAAATACTTGGCCTATGTTGGTACCCCACCGACTATGTTTTTCGAATTGTCGCGTATTGTCTGCGGTTCAGGAGCGTCATTTCAGTTTTTTTTTTGGGTGTGCGAGATTTCAAGTAGGCCATTTTGAAATTTCATCAGGTTTATATAAAAATATATATATATACCTACTTAAGTAAATTCTTCTTCTTTTAAATTTCCATAGATTATGAATCACAATCAATATAAGTAATAAATATAAATTATAATAATACTTACTATTTTGATATTATGTAATATAATGTAGCGTTGGGGTCGTAGCAATCGTTGAATTTTATGTTTATCAGTTCATTACCGTTATCAATTGTT